ATGCCCAGATCCATCAGTCACGTGGGTGTTTGCCCCCCTCTCCACCTAAGGGGCATCTCCGAGGGGCAGCCCCTTGCCCCTGCCACCAGCAGCCCCTGCTCCCGCCCCTGGCAGCAAAAAAAAAAAAAACTCAGCTGCGCATGCGCGTTAGCTCCTAGCTGGGGCGCGCCAGGCGCAGGGGGACGTATGCGTCGTGTCGGTTTCCGCTCTGCGCATGCGCGGCCCTGGCTAGGCACCCTCATTAGCATATTGGGTGTCATGTGCCCCGCCGGGCGGGGCCGTGGGCCAAGATGGCAGCCACCAGGTACAGGCGGTTTCTCAAGCTGTGCGAGGAGTGGCCAGTGGACGAAAGCAAGTGGGGCCGCGACCTGGGCTCTCACCTGCGGGGCCGCGTGGCCCAGGCCTTCCGTGAGGGCGAGCACACGCAGGTGAGGCCGCGCGTGGAGCCGGGTCGCGCGTGAGGGCCTCGTGCACATGCACTGGCTGTGTTCGAGACAACCCGGCGCATGCGCGCTGGAGCCCTGAAGCTGCCCCGCCTTCTGCGCATGCGCCACAGGAGCCTGGAAGTGGCTCAGACTTGTCCCCAGCTCTGTGCAGCCCAATGCACCCGCCCTGGCCCAGCCTGGCACTGCTGTTCTCGTCCCTGCCAGCACCAACGCTGTGCAGGCGCCCTGACACTTGCCAGACCATTGTCAATGCCACGCACCTGGAGCTCCTGGTGCCACGTGCCTGGCAGGGGCAGGGTCTGCAGCCATGACCTTGAACACTACGCATTGCCAACCCTGGCCTGCATATTTAATGTGACATACTGAAGAGCCTTGCATTGGGATGGGGAGTCTGTGCAGTGCCCCGGACTGCGCCGAGAGCATTGTCCCATTTCCCTGGCAGCTCTGTGCTGTGCACAGGTGGCGCGATCGGGGCGCGTCGGACATGGAGGATCCTGCTACAGGCATGGTGTTGGACTACAGCGGGGTTGCTTAACCTCTGCGACCCGCAGAGTCATAGGTGTCTGGCCTGCGGGGCTTCCCATGGGTTGGGAAATTTGGCAGCAGGGGAGTAGTGGCAGTAAATGTGGCTGTCCTCCTCCGCTGCCAGATTCCCAAACAGTAAGCCCCACCCGGCAGGTTGGGGCTGGGTCATGCCCCCTTCTCCCATCTCTGTGGCTGGATGAGGCCAGGCCATATGCCCTCTCCTGCTCAGCTGGATGGGGTTGTGCCACATCCACTTCCTGCCCCCCACAGGGCCGGGTTGGAAGTGGGTCAAGCCCGCTTCTCCTCCTGTGGGGCTGTGGGTTTTGGAGCTGGGATGCCCCCTGCCCCATCTGCACAGCTAGATGGTCCCCTGCTGCAACCATCCTGTGCCAGATGAGGACCACCAACCAGATCCTGCAGACAGCCCAGGCCCACCATCCAAAACGGTGGGATCCAAAAAGGGACTGGACCAGTGGTGCTCAACCTTTTTCGTACCAGGACCTATTTGCCAAGATCAATGGCTTGTCCGGACCGACACCCCCTTGGCCCTGCCAGTGCCCGACCCACAGTCTCCTGCCCCCAGGCCCTGCTGGCACCCCTCACCCCCAAGGCACAGTCCTGCCCCGCCC